CTTTGGTTCCTAGCTCTGCTACTTTTTGGATAAGTAGATAAATTGTGCTTGTTTTCCTCATTGGTGAATGGGATCAATGATACCGTCTTGTAGGATTGTTTAAATAATTAAATACCTAGTTCAGTGCTTGGTACCCAGTAGGAGCTGAAATAAATGTGATCTGTTAGTAAATTTACATTTTCTCTGGAGTGTTCCTCATTCCTTTGTGGATTTGTGTGGGGTCCCTACTCTGTTAGTTACAGTTCTGAGAGTTTAACCGAAATTAATTCATGTAACCAGAATACCATGTTTGCAGATGAAGAAATTGAAACGGAGAGATTAAGTAATTTTCCCAAAGTTGCACAGCAATTAAGAGGCATCGATCTGATTAGAATCCTGCCAATCTGGTTTGAGTCTGCCTTTTTTTTTTTTTTTTGACAGGCAGAGTGGACAGAGAGAGACAGAGAGAAAGGTCTTCCTTTTCTGTTGGTTCACCCCCAAATGGCCTTTTAAGAAGACCTGCTCCTACCTAGATTCTTAGCCTGGCTTTCCTGCAGTAAGACTTTGTCCCCTCAGTGAGTCTTGTCTGGAGTAGGTAGTCTCGTTAGTTGATGTTAATTGATTTTTCCTATCCTCTTGGCTTCAGACCCACAGTCTGTGGATGGGAAGGCCTTTTGTAGGTGAGTGGTTTTGCATATTGATAATACTGGTCAGTGTCTGCTGAGTACTGTTTATCATATACTGGGCTAGAACTAGCTCTGCTGAGTTGAAAGTGAAGGAAGTCGTGAGAATTAGGGGTGATCATGAGAGTATTTTGATTTTTTTAAAAGTAGATTTATTTGTTTGAAAGGCAGAGATACAGAGAGAGAAGGGGAGAGAGAGAGAGATCTTCCATCCGCTGTTTTACTCCTTAAATGGCCGCAACACCCAGAGCAGGTCAGGCCAAAGCTGAGAGCCAGGAGCTTCTTTTGGGTCTCCCATGTGGGGGCAGGAGACCAAGGGCTTGGGCTATCTTCCAGTGCTTTCCTGGGTGCATTGAGATTTGGAATGAAAGGAGAGCAGCTGAGACTTGAACTTGCTCTCATATGGGATGTTGGCAGAGCAGGTGGAGATTTAACCTATGCCACAGTGCTGGCCCCTAGAGTATTTTGATTTTTAAAACATTGACTTTTGTGAGCTAGATTCATTAAATCCTGAGATAACTAGAGTTGAGCTAGCAAATAAATCCCTTTAAAAATGTAAAGGCCTAAATAAGTATTTGTTTCTTTATGGAGTTAGGACTGAAACTTAAGGGTAAGAAGATGAAAATTCAGGATTATAGAATTAATGAAATGGACCTTGATGTTTTACTTTTAAGAATATCGCTCATTAAAATGATTTGTATTTGAAATTGTTAGTATTTAATTGCTGGAAAGTCATTTTCCATGTTTTGGTTTTTGGAGGGAGGTATGCAGAATAGGAAGACTTCTTCACTTGGTTACTGTTTCTTACAGCAGGGCTTTTCCAGCACCCCTCCCTCTGTTCACAGCCCTAGAAGGTTCAGTCACCATGCTGGGAAGGTTCCACAGTAAGAGTTCTTGACTGACACTTGGTTACATTTTAAGTTCTGTGTTTCCTTCAGTGCTTTTTTTTTTTCCCCAGGTAAATTATTCTTTAAATGTGATTCTTAAGTTTCTTGAGTGAAAAAAATGCAAACATGTGATACCCTGATCATTTTTATTTAGGAAACCTAAGAAGATAAGTGCATATTACAAGAGCTGATGTTTCCCCATCTCCCTTTTTTGCTAGAATTAAAAATAATCAAAGTATATCTAATGTTTTATACATTTTCCGTACCCAGCCACCTTTGCATTTCCTTGAAAATTGGATACTGTCTAGATTGTTTTAATGCTTGAATACTGAAGATTGTGTTGCCTAATCTTAAGTGACAAGTCCAATTTGTTCCCTTTAATACATATTAAAGTAAAGGGCATATACTACTTTTGAGTGCTGAATCATTGTAACTGTCACATGTTTTTGTTCTTGTTAAGATCCCCACTGGGTTTGTAGTAGAAATAGGGAAAAATCCATCTGCTTTTTCTTCCACTTTAGTCTTCAATCTACCTTCTCCTCCCTTATAAAATAAATCTAATCTGATTAGTCATCCCTTTTCTCTTCCTTAAACTGATAACATTGAAACCTGTGATACTATTCTCTCACAGTTAGAACTTCTAGCCCTGGTGTGCCATCATGACCTCGGAAGAGGGCAGGTGCATGTATCCCATGCCAGCTTCTCTCTTGCACAGCCAACCCTTCAGACTGCAGAAGTGTCCATATCCTTTCTGCTAGGGAAATGATTGTTAAAATTTATTCTAGGCATAGAGAGCTGACAGCAAAACAGCAGGCGTGCAGGAAGTGGAGGGTACTTATCAGACTTTGCAAGGATGTAGTTGCCTATAACCACTTGGCCTGGCTGGAACCATACTATCAGTTCTTTGCATGGCATCACTCATTAGCCTTCAGGGTGTGGGAAATGAGTAACTGCAACCCTTTTTCTTAAAATACTTGTATGTTGATACTGACCCATATACTGGAAATTTATATGTAAATCAGCAAAGATAGCTTACATTTACATGTATCATTGTACATATATATTTATGTGCACGTTATTTATTATATATACTTTTCATATAAGATTTATGACATGTAATTATTTAATATGTTATTTGCATGAGTAAGACAGTTTTTAAGTTTTTTCTCTCCAGTTTTTCAATACTTAAATCATTAAAAGAGTTAACAGGTCTTTTTGGCTTGCAAAAGTGACTTTAGCTGTTTTTTCCTTCCATTCTTCAACAAAAGTGATTAAAGCTGTAGGGAACAGAGTGCTGGATTTGGTGGTATATGCTAAAACCCCAAAATAAACCTGATTGTTTTGTTGTCTGTGTCTTTTAGGAGAATGGGAGAAAAGTTATTCCAAGGAGTTACATCAGGTTTCATTAAAGAGTAATTTCCAGGATGTGGCCTTGTAGTTGGTATACTTGCAGGCTCGTCTCCAAAACTGTGCAATGGTCACTGGTGGTCACAGCGACCCTTAGGTACCTCCCTATCTTCAGAGAAGGGTGAAACGCATCTGTTGAGTGTGCTGCTTCCCTCAAGGAAGAATTGCATATTGAGTTTTAGAGTAATTTTCAATCACATAAGTTGAAAGTTTGCTTGTTAACATTCAGTTAAACAAAATTAAATTAGGACAGTTATCTTTTTGGCATTTCATTTTATTGTGTGTTGTCTTTGAATCTCAAGGAGGGCATAGTTTTCAAGAGGGAAGACTCCTAGACATTAGGAGATGTGGCTTATGATAGGATAGGGCTTGTCTGATGTCCAGAGATGGTAGAGTTATTAATGAAGTAGCGGGGGATTAGTGAGTTGAATATAATTTCTCAATTTTAATGAGATTTTAATCTATAATCTAAATGATAACATATTTGCAGAGAGAGCAAGAATGTGGCTGCAGAATAGACTCCAGTGAATAGATAGTTTTCATGCTGCAAAAGTTAGCATTGGTTTTCATATTTTTTTTTGCATGATGTTATTTTCACTCTGTGTCAAGTGGAATATTTTATCTTTGGTCATCTCTTTGCTGAACAATCTCAAAAAGCTTTATAAATATGTACAGTAAGCAGTGTGATTTATGGAGAGATTACTGAAGTTCAGATTTATGAACCATCTTTGTTCCTACCAAATTTCCACTGATAATAGCCTGGGTGATTTTAAAACAAATACCTTCCTTAATCTTCTTGGTCTGTTTCTACTGTCTAATCAAGAGTTGAAGGCTTGTGACCCCTGGGTTTAGGCCAGCCCAGGAGAGTCTAGGGTTTGCAGATATATTGCACAAGCCCTGGAATACTGTATCTGTTACTGTGTACACTACTCAAAGGCTTCCTCCCCCACTTTATTTACCGTAGTAGCTCGGGAAGAATCCGAGTATTTTGCTTAGCAGGGGAGGAGGAAGTAACAGGGAGGCTGAGGTTGGATGGGAAGGCAGGGAGGTGTGGTCCTGGATGTACTGGGAGACCATGGAGGGAATACTTGCCTGTCTTATTTTGCTTTGGGTTTAAGTCCTGAGAAATGAATCCTTGTCAACATGGGTCAAATGAGAAGAGGTTATTACAGTACAAGGGTTGTTTGGAAACAGCAAAAATTTCTGCTAGGCTCATGCAAAGGGAAAGAGGTGATTCCTTGAGGAGAAAATCCTGAGAGCTTATGGCTCAAGTAGTTGGGTCACTCCCACCTACGTGGGAGACCTGAACTGAGTTTCTGACTTTGGCCCAGCCCAGCCCTCCTCACCATTGTTAGCATCTGGGGAGTAAAACAGTAGATGGGAGCAAGCTCTGTCCCTGCCCCTGGTTCTCACATTAAAGACAAAATTACCTCAGTAGAAAGGATAGGATACTCTTTCTGATGTGAGTGAAAACGTGAGGAAAATTCATTGATAATTGCCTTGAAATGTAAGACACTCATATTCTATTGCTTTCTCCCATTTGGTAAAAATAGCAAGAAAACAAAGTAGGTGGTGTGGGGAGAATGGCAACCTGTGGTGGGTATTATTAGGACTGTGACAAACACCTGTTAATCTGATTGTTGCCCAGGGTCATTTGACTGGCCAGATAATGTCACCTTCTCCACTGCTCCTGTGCATCCTGCTGGGAGCTTTGTGCTTGGTCAGGGTTTTGCAAGTAGCTGCCTTTGCTTTATAGAGCCTTTATACTCTTAGGATCCATTTTTAGGAGATATACAGGTGATTAAACTTCCTTTCCCTCTGCCCTCATTTGTTTACCAAAACTATACCTAATTTTGTGTTTCATATTTTCAAGAACTTTTTCTTTCTTCTGATTACCAGCATCAAAAATAAATCTTAAGGTAAAATGTTTGAATGTGCTTTATGGGTATTATAGTATTACTAAGAATGACTAGTCAGCCATATAGAAATACTTAGTTTTACATGATTTTACTTAGAGTTTCAGTTTATTTTCTGGTTTCAATAGAACAAGTTGAAATCATCGCAGAAGGATAAAGTTCGTCAGTTTATGATCTTCACACAATCTAGTGAAAAAACAGCAGTAAGTTGTCTGTCTCAAAATGACTGGAAGTTAGATGTTGCAACAGATAATTTTTTCCAAAATCCTGAACTTTATATACGAGAGAGTGTAAAAGGATCATTGGACAGAAAGAAGTTAGAGCAACTGTACAATAGATACAAAGGTGAGTGTTTGCTTGTAACTTTAAATGTTTTGAACCAGGTTTTCTGTTATGGGCTTGTGACAGATCAGATGCTCCCTAGTTCATGAATTGGGGGATTCGGGAGAGGCGTCCAGTTGACTTCTACAGTTTTCAGAATTATTTCAAGACATCTGAGTGGAAGAGAACTTTTCCTCTTTTCACTAAAATTTCTTCTTGGCCTCTTTATTTTTTCTCCCTTGTTTTTTTTTTTTTTTTTTCTTTCCCTTCTCCAGTATCCAATTTGAGAATGAGAGGTGGGGAAAGGATTATTTCCTCCCTTTTTCTATAAAATTAAGCTGAACCAGATTTTAAGAAAACCCACATAGTGACTTTTAAAAGTTATAAAATAGTACATGCTTTATAAAAAGTTAAACCAGGTACATAATAGGTGAATAAGAAGACATAAGTAGTTTCTCCACCTTTTCCTTATTTGTTCTCCTGAGGTAGACAGTAAAGCCTGGGTTGTGAATCCCTCCATGTCTTTTCTGTTTCTTCAGAAATATTTATACAACATTTCTTTCAAAAGTTTTCCAAAACTGGGATTTTACTAGGCGTAATTCAGGCTCCCAAATCAAAGGATGTGGATATTTACTATTGCTAGAGATACTGCCAGATTACTTTCAGAAAGGTGTTATTAATCATATTTGACGGTAGAAGATCATGCCTCTGTCTCTTTGTATTTGTCACTTTTAAATTTTTGCTCATCTGATAAGTAAATATTGATTTTTTTTTTCTTGAAACAATAGTTGTTTATGTTGTTTGGATTAGGATTGAATTGGTAGTTTATAGTTTTTCTGATACCCTTAAGAAGTGATTGCTCTAATAAAATGAACTTTGTCTTAAGAAAAAGAAAATTCTATATGTAATAATGTTAAATTAGAATTCCTATTTAAGCAAAATATGAATACGTTGAGTGATAATCCTTTGTCCCTTTAGAGGAGTGTCTGAGTTTCTCAATGTGTATAACTATAGGACATTTTTCACATGAGTAAGTGGGACTTACAAATGAAGTGCCCGTCTGTATGTATGCTTTCTTGTATACTTCAGGAATGCTATTTAAGGAGCAAAGTGGCTTTAAATATCATATGGGCAATCTGTTATAGTAATACTGCATGTTTTTGGTATGTTGTAATTTTTGAAAATGGAACAAATAACATTACCTTTTCCAGTTTTAGGAATACAGACTAATAAAGTACGGGAGTACTTTAATTATGCATTGTTATTTTTAAAGATCCTCAAGATGAAAATAAAATTGGAATAGATGGAATACAGCAGTTCTGTGATGACCTGGCACTTGATCCAGCCAGCATTAGTGTGTTGATCATTGCATGGAAGTTCAGAGCAGCAACACAGTGCGAGTTCTCCAAACAGGAGTTCATGGACGGCATGACAGAATTAGGGTGAGTATGTAATTACCATAGGAAATTAGATACATTACCATGAGAATTACTGTGGAACTGAATTATGTCATTTGCATTTAAAATGTAACGACATTTCACAGGCCCACAAACATTGGTATAAATAGAAAGGGCTAACTTGCTAGTTCCCATGTTGTATAGATTTCAGGGTTTGTGAGATTATCTGTGCAACTGCTATAGCCTCTTCTATTTGCATTATACTTTTATTATTAGAGGTTTCTCAGGGAGATTCACTATACTAAAATAAAATTATGAATGAAAATTTAACATGGAAGAATTAAATGAGGAAGTTTGTAAGCTCTTTCCTAATGTGAGGCTGTGAACTCCAAAGTTTTAAAATTCTAAAATTTAAAAACTGGCATTAGAAGTTGCTGATTACTTTTTGTTTCACTTACATCATGATGGCTGATTTAGCTGCATGTCTTTGAATAATTAGATTGAAGAGGCATGGGTGGAGATTTTTTGCCTGTGACCTCTATTTTTTTTTAATGTGGCTGCAGAAGTATTGGGCTGTGGGTATACAGCAGTCTGCCCTTTCTGTTCTTAGTGCACCAGTAATGAAAAATATGAAGAAAGTTTTCAAGAGGTGCACTTGCCTACTTAAGTGGAGAGACCATGCTTTCCATTAGTTTGGAAGCGGGACATGTAATTAATCACAGTGTAAACAGTGTCTAATATGGTTGAAGCCAGTGATTATTCTGCTGAATACTATACATTTTTATCTATTTGTTGGAGCTTAATTTTGTAAGTTTGCATGTTGATATTCAAGGAGTTCTGTAGTTAACAGTAATGTTCCATTTCTTTAAAAAATGGTGATTTTTTCTGATGTAGTCACTCCAGATTTCCTCTTATCCCAGCTTACCCCATACAAGTTTTACTTTTTTGTGACTTCAGAGTCTTGTGATAAACCATAGTCTGGAAATATTAAATGGAAAATTGCAGAACTAAAACAATTCAGAAGTTTTAAATTTGTACCATTCTGAGTATCATGGTGAAATCTTGTAGTATTCTGCTTGTCCTGCTGGGGATGGGAATCATCCTTTTGTCAAGTGTACCCATACTGTATTTGCTGTCACCCATTAATCACTTAGCAGCTGTCTTGGGCTCACAGTGTCTGTGTTAAAGAAACCCTTGTTTACTTAAAAGTGGCCCCAAAGCAGAAGAGTAGTGATGTTGACAGTTTGGTAATGCCAAGAAGAAGCTATAAAGTGCTTCCTTTAAGTGAAGAAGTGAAAGTTCAACAAGATATTTTGAGAGAGATCCCGCTCACCTTTTATTATAATGTATTGTTATAATTGCTTTATTTTATTCTTGTTCATCTCTTACTGTGCCTCACTTATAAACTAAATTTTTAACGTAGGTATGTATAGGAGAAAACATAGTATATAGAGGGTGTGGTATGCACTGTGTGTTCTACAGTGTATCCTCTGTTGATAAGTGGATGACTGTACCTGTTTATATTTATGTAAAGAAAATTCCTGATTAATTGATTTTTAGAAGTTATTCAAGGAAATCAATGTAACCTCTCTAAGGAATAAATAATTTATAGTACAAACGTTAACATTTTCCAAACTTCATTTTATAATGTAGATGTGACAGCATAGAAAAACTAAAGGCCCAGATACCCAAGATGGAACAAGAATTGAAAGAACCAGGACGATTTAAGGACTTTTACCAGTTTACATTTAATTTTGCAAAGAATCCAGGACAAAAAGGATTAGGTAAGAATATTTTAAAATTATGTTTGACTTTTCAAATATATTTAAGTGCATTGATAACATCACTTTGTAATAGAAAATTTATGTGTTTTAGCATAAAGTCATCATGAAAATACCAGTTATCCAAAAAAAAACCCAATGAGAAATAGAAATAATCAGAAAATACCATGCACATTGAATAATAGGGTTTCTCTGGGTAGTGTATTTGAATCACTTACCGATTTTATGATAGGTGCAATATAGAAAATAAATAGTTGTGCCCTACTTCTCCAAAGGAGAATGGTCTAATCCTTGCCCAGCTCCACACAGGGGAAATGACAGCATTGCTTTTGTATAAATTATGTAATACAAGTTTTAAAAAACTTCATCTCAGTATACTTACTTTTTAAAATCAGCCACAATGGCCCCCTTTTTTGATGCTTGACTTGAGATGTGTGAATGCTTTTGGTCCCCTGGAGAGTGGCCTGAGGTGTGGGGCAGCCAGGTCTTACCTGCACACTGACTTTGAGACCAGTTTAATAAAAATGCATGCGTTAAAATGGAAAAAAAATGGAAAAAAAAAGATAGTTGTTAAAATCCCTTGGACATGCATTTCTTTATGCATTCACTCATTTGTGATCCAGACGATATTTTAGAATCTTAGTATCTATTGAAATACCATGTAGGATTTATTTCTAATAAATTGATTCTTTTTAGTTATGATTTATTTAAAAATTATAAGAAAGCATGAAAAGGCATGACAGCCCGCCGCTGGCTCACCAGTCCCTCAGCTGCTGGGTGCCTCTCTGGGGGAGCCAGGTCCGTGGGGTAAAGCAAGAACCTGATGAGTCATGGAATAGGGAGGAACTGGTCAGGCACTCAGCCTTGGACAGAAGGGCTTAGCAGCAGCACCAGTTGATGCTTTGAAAGGATGGGTGGGCTGCAGGACCACTGGAATCAGGGCAGTTTCCAGGGTGGACATAATTTTGACTTGAGCCCAGCTCTGCTGAGCACTTTGATCAAAGCCATCTGCACCCCTCCTGGTTTCTCAACTGTAGATGAGAGGGTTGAGTGTGGGGGTGATAAGGCTGTAGAAGAGAGAAACCACATTGTCCTGTTGTGGGCTATGATAGGAACTAGGTGCCATGTATATGAACACCATGACACCATAAAAGAGTCCCACTATGGTGAGTGAGAGTCGCACATGGTGAATGCCTTGTTTCAGGCTACCTCTGAGTGCATGCATAGGATAGCACCCAAAATGTGACCATAGGGGGTGGCGATGAGGGAAAGCAGAAGTACGAGCATCAGCACCCCAGAAGTGCACAGTGCCAACTCGTAGGCAGAGGTGTCTACCCAAGAGAGCTTCAGCAGGACTGGCACCTCACAGAAGAAGTGGTCCATGATGTGGGAGGTACAGTAAGGGAGACGTAGAGTGATGGACGTGTGGATGCAGGCATTGAGTCCACCTGCTATCCAGGAGGCACCCACCATTAGCAGACACACCTGATGCCTCATGAGCACAGGATACTGCAAGGGATGGCACATAGCAGCTTAGCGATCATAGGACATGAGAGCCAGCAGGACACCCTCAGCCACACGCATCAACGTCAGGAAGAATATTTGAGCTGCACAACCCCCAAAGGAGATGGAAGCTTCTCCCTGTAGAAAGTCTGATACCATCTTGGGAATGATGACCAAGGGGAAGCTAGCATCCACAGGGAGAGCCGGCTGAGCAGAAGGTAGTCCATGGGAATCCACATGGATTAAGAAGAGTAGTGTTGCCCAGAAGGCACATGATAAACATAGCAACCAGCATGGAGAAGAGGGGCTGACGTGGCCCTGACTGACAAAGAGCCCTACCAGAATGAAGTCATTTACTTGCCTCGTGTTTGACACAAAAGACTTTAGCTAGAGGAAGAAGACCCGTGGCAAGATGCCTGAATGGGTACAGCAAATAATTTTTTTAGAGAGGAAGAAGTAAAGGTTTATTCATAAATTGTCTCTAGAAAATCCAAAAGAATTTATAATATACTAAAAGAAAAATTTGATTTAGAAAAGAATAATTTGATGAAAATATACATAAATTTAAAAAAATGAAAAAATTATTCACAATCTAATTATCCAGAAATAATCTCTAAACAGTTCAGATCAATCCCTTTGTACTAAATGTAATATACACATTTTTGCTTTTGGGACAGCTAGGGGGTATGGAAGTAAAAAACACAGTATAATTTATAAAGCTCCCTAAAAAGATTAGATAGATAGTATTAGATGATACAAAGTAATAGACAGAAATGAGTAAAAGCAGGAGTGATTGGGAAATGCTTTATGCCCAAGATGGGATGTAAACCTAAAGGACTTGGTGTTTGCTGTGCCAGGGAACATGGAAGGTACTGCAGTAAGAGGACAGTTGTGAATGAAGAGCTAAGCTAGCCTCAGAAACAAGCATGGCTTCTTTGTAGAAGAGAGAAGTTGAGACATTAAATTAGTAAGATGCAATAAGGCTAAATGACCATAGGCGTCTTTTTATTTTTATTTTTTTAAGATTTATCTATTTATCTGAAAGAGTTACACAGAGAAAGGAGAGGCGGGGGGGCAGAGTCTTCCATCCGTTGGTTCACTCCCCAGATGGCTGCAACAGCCAGAGCTGCGCCAATCCGAAGACGGGAGCCAGGAGCTTCTTCCAAGTCTCCCATGTGGGTGCAGGGGCCCAAGGACCTGGGCCATCTTCTATTGCTTTCCCAGGCCACAGCAGAGAGCTGGCTTGGAAATGGAGCAGCCAGGTCTCGAACTGGCGCCCATAAGGGATGCCAGTGTTTCAGGCCAGGGCGTTAACCCACTGCGCCACAGTGCCGGCCCCAGTAGGCATCTTTTTGAAAATGGGAAAGAAATGTTTGAACTTGTAGGAAGTGGGTACCCACAGAAGGTGCTGATGAAGGCAGTAACTTAAGTATCATGTGGGCTTTCTGTGTATCTGGTGACGTGCTAAAGCAATTTACATACACTGCCTTAATGTTGAACAATTTTATGAGCTGTTCATTCTCTGATTCAATAATTTACCACCTGCTGTGTGCTAGGTATGCAATAAGAAAGTGCTAGTCATTTTTTATCCTTAATTTGTAGATGAGGAAACAAGAAGGTTAAATAACTTTTGTCCAATGATGGAAGTCAGTTTTTGTTTTTGTTTTTGAAGCTGTGCTAGTTGGGGAATCTAACGTGACCTCTTGTACTATCCTTTTGTATATTTTAGATTACAGGGGGGAAAAGCCACTGAGAAGCAATTACATGGCCTAGCCTGTGGAAATGATTGAAAGCTAGAGAGGAAGGGACAAATGTAAATTTGTAATGGAGAATTTGCCTGTAGAGTGACTAAACATGACTGAATTTATTAAAGATTTACAAAATACCTGTGAAGCCATAGTCTAAATGAAGCCCCTTTTCCAGCTGATTATTTAATATAGGTTAGATTTTATTCTTAAAGGGAAACTCTTAATTTTGCAGGCAAAATTACCTAGGTTACCTAAGGATAGTTTCTCTATCTGTGCCCACAGTTAACTGGGTTATTATTCTAGTTTCTTCTTTCCTTGTCACAAATAAAAATCTGTTAAAGTCTAAGAATTTACATTGCAAGAATTATTTTGTGGTATTTATAAATGTAGCACAATATTTTCATAAGATTAAATAAGTGTTGTGAATATCAAATGTTAAAGAGACTTAAAACTTAACTAGTTTCTTAGCTATGTCCGTACCACTTACTGGAGCACCAAATAAATGCTATTTTTGGGCAAATGTATAGTTTGGATATTGAATCTTAGCTTTTATGTGGTGAAAATAAAAATATAGCTAGTGGATATAGTAATATGGTATATTGGAATTTCAGATTATAAAGCAAATTTGGAGAAAAAATCATGCAAAAGCATGTTTAAGAATTATGTATGTGTATTATCTGATAAGTCTTGTGCTTAAGGAAAATGTGTTGTGTAATGGCTGTAAGAGTTCTGTTTTGTAAGTTGAAGAGAATGCTGGAGATTGGTTGCACAGTCATCTGACTCTACCTAACACTGTTGAACTGTACATTTAGAAGAGGTTAAGATGGTAATAATCACAATGATACACCAGCCACAGAAAGTACGAAGTATAAACTCTAATAGTGGAATATGGACTTTAAAGTGTTAATTAAGAAAAAAATGTAAAGAAAGACAAATCTTAGTTTTCTCTCTATTTTTGTATTGGTGCTAGGCATCAAGAAATGCAATGACTAGTTAAAAAGAGAACAGTTCTCTTGACAATCTTTCTGAGTGTTCACAGGGCCCTTACACAAACATAATCACATAGAGAGATTTTCCATCCAATGCATAAAAGATGGAAAAGTGTTCACTCCCCAATGGCTGCAACAGTCAGGACTGGGCCAGGCTGAAGCCAAGAGCTCAGAACTCTGTCGGAGCGTCAGGGACCCAAGCACTTGGGCCATTCCCCACTACTTTCTTCAGGGAACTGGATCAGAAGTGGAGTGGCTGGGACTGGAACCAGCGCTCCAATATAGGAAGCTAGCATCAAAGGCCTTGTGTTAACATGCTGTGCCGCAGTGCTGAGTCCCTCCCCTGCCATTTCTGGTAGTCACCTAGATCTTAAATTTGAAAGGGGTTTTGTAAGTTCTCCATGAAATCTAGCCTACCCAGAGTAGCCTCCCTACCTGGTATTGATTGCATTTCTGCTTTAGAGCGTGCAGGGACTGGAACACATTTTTGGAAACTGTTCATTCATGTCACAGAATATTCTTACTTGTTGTCATTAAACAGTTCTTATTAAGCTAACGTTTTTATAATTTGTACATTGCTGTTATCCTCCAGTGCAACAAAGAAAATTTAACCCTTTAAAAATTGTGATCACCTTTTGTCCTTTTTCCCAGGCCAGCATTCCAGTTGTTTTAACTGTTCTTCATTTGAGGAAATACTGTTACTGTTTGCTCAGACATATTTTCCCTCTCTCTATTCCCTCAAAATAGAGCTCTTAAAACTGGC